TACTCCTTGGACTCTGTATGGCTCTTAAAAGCAGACAGGTCGAGCTTGGACAGCTTCCACTGCAAATGCCTGCGGCGTATGTTGAGTATTCCCCACTCTTTTGTTTCTCGTGTTCGCAACAGCGACGTGTTGCAGCGAGCGTCGTCGACACCGTTATCTGAGATTCTGAAGGAACGCCAGATAGCTCTGTACAGTCGAATCGCCAGCTCCCCAGACCCATCCCTGATCAAAGACATCTTGTGCGATGCGGACGGCATTCCCAAAAACTGGGCCCGCCGCCGGAAACGAGGGCGCCCGCGACAACAGTGGGCGACTTCGGTGTATGCTTTGTCTTGTTTGTGACTCCACTTCGCCCGCTCCTCGTTCCCCTCCCGCTCCTCTTTTGTCTCCTGCTTCACAGCCATGTTGCGCAACCCGTTTTTCTGCTTCACAGTCGAGCGGGTGTACTTTAGATTTCCACGAAGAGCTGCCAATCGTGCACTCTTCTGCCCACGCGTCCTTCCGGATGCTCGGCTCAGCCTGTCCTGTCCCTCGCACTTGAGCCAGCAATCCACAGACACCTGCGTTGGGAGCCAATCGCGTGCAGGCGTGGTGTCGCACCGCATTTGAATGGCTGCCCGATCGCATGTTCATGCAGGCGTGGGGTCGCACCCCATGCCCCTGAGAGCGGCACGCGCTGCTGCGCTACACTGCTGCTGACTCCTACCCAGCGCTGCAGCCCCAAACTCTGGAACAACCCCTTGGTTCGACTTTGTTGCGTCCTACTTCGGCGGACGGACGTCCAGACCGTTGCGCCTCTGACGCGAATATGCGGCAATTGTTTCAGATTGTTTTGGGAAGCGTCTTCCGGAACGTTCTGAGCACACCTTCTGGCAGAGCGTTTCGAGAGCACTCTACCGTACATCAAGGCCGCACGAAAATCCATCCTCCTCCTCCTCCTCCTTCGCCTCCTCATCTTTCTCCTCCTCCTCCTCCTCCTCCTCCTCCTCGGGTCGCCTACGGCCCCGGGGGAAACCGTGCAGCCGAAGCGCGGTGGGCCATGACCAGCGGAGCGACACGCCAAGCTAAAGCTCCTGATTCCATGACCTGGAAGAAGCAAAAACTGCACGAGCCTAAAATTTTGGCGCTCCGCGCCAAAAAAGTTTATGCTTATACAATGTTGTTCTTCTTCGATGACCGCAGCACCGTCTCAAGGCCACCCGTCCCCTCTCGGGCGTTGGCAGAACGATGTATACTGGGGGACGCTCCCCCCCGCCCCGTTCCATTAACCGGAACTGCCGTCACCCGAAAAAAACACCTGCTGCGGCAATCCTGGTTCAGTGACTCTAGCCAATTTAAGGGGCCCTGGGGCCCTATTGCTGTAACCGAGTCCCCTTACCTGGGGTCCTGACTATACCCGACCCGACCCTCGGCGGTGGACACAAACCTCCCTTTAGTAAACCTCCCTTCAGTGAAAGCGGCCTAGGACCGAAACCGAAGGACCTGGACCCGCAAAAATAACGGCCGCGACGCCCTCTCGCGAACCGAAAACGGCCAACCCGCTACTCGACGTGTCAGGGTGGGAGGCCTATCAGCCTCCGAGACCCGCGGGGATCTCCGCGGCTGACCTCCAGGCCGCTCCGGCGCGCGGCCGCGCCCCGCCCGCCGGCCGCGGCGGGGCGCCCCCCGCGAAGGACGCCGCGGCGGCCGCCGCGGCGAGCGCCGCCCAGGCGGCAGCGAGGCCCGCCAGGGGCGCCCGCCGGCCGCGCCCGCCGCGCCGCGGCGCGGCGCGCCGAGGCGCCGCGGCGGCGGCCATGGCGGCCAGGGATCGGCACGGCATGGCGGCGGGCGGGCGGGCCGCGCGGCGGCTCGCGTCGTGGAGCAGCTGGGGGGGGGAATGGGGATGGGGGTCAGGAGTGGGAGGAAGAAGAGGAGGAGGAGGAGGAGGAGGAGGAGGAGGAAGAGGAGGAGGAGGAAAAGGAGGAGGCGGAGGAGGAGGAGGAGGTCTTCTCTGTCGCTGCACTGAAAGACAGCAGAAAGAACCACACCAGCATACACTTTTGGCGCTCCGCGCGGATTTCTTGGATTCGCGCTGGACACCCCCCCCCTGGCGCGCGGAGCGCCCCCGGGGCGGCGCTGGAGGCGCCGCTGGGGGCCCAGGCGCGGATCCCAGAGATCCGCGCAGAGCGCCACAAGTTTATGCTTATGTGTTTTGGTTCGTCTTCGATTCAAGGTAGTTTCCTGACTCCGGACGCTGCCAGGCAACTGCACCTCGCCGAGGGCGTTCCCCGGGGGGCCCGGATCGTCCCGAACGGCCACCGAACACCCGAGGCAGCGAGGCCCCCTCGCGCCGTGAGAGAAGCACGACGCAGGGTCTTCAGCAGCTTCGGGCCTCTGGGAGCCCTGACTGGACCCCCGTCGAAACACGACCCAGGATCCCAGGCCCCCGACGTCCTGATGTTTGCATAACGTCGACCCCTTAAGAGACGTCGACCCCTTCCCCAGGACCGGCTTCTCCTCCCGAGTCACGTTCTGACGGTCCCGAGGCCCAAAACAGGGAGAACTCATTCTTCGAGCCAGATCGATCTGCGCGGGTCCTGGGGCCCAGGCCTGGGCGGAAACTACCTGGTGAGAAAAACATGCAACGCCAGGATCTCGGGGCAGGATGAGAAATCCGGACCCCCAACATCACGAGTTTTTCATGGCACGACCCGTTTCTTCATCATGTTCTTTGGCTGCCCGGCTGCGGCCCTCGCACGGCCCTCGAGAGCGTCCGGGCCCGCGGGCGCTCGGCCGTACTCCGTGTACCTCAGAAATTCTGGGCCCCCAGGCCAGAGAGAGCCCCCCACCAGAGTACAAGGGCCCCTGCAGGGCCACCCAGAAGAACCCGGACCCCGACGTCATGGATTTCTTATGACGCGACCCCCAGAGAGGTCCAGGCCCATTCCCGAGTCGTTTTTGAATGATCCCGAGGCCCAGTGAGGGCCCCCAGGGGCCGAAGGTTGCGAAAAACCTGCCGTCGTGTTTTTTCGCGACGCGTGGGGGTCTTCATGCGCTCTGGCTAACCCCCGTTATTGCATGAACCCCCGTCTCCAGGCTCCCGAAAAGGACAATACTTGGGCGATGTCGGAAACCCTGAACCCAAAAACGCTTTCATCTCTTGAAAGGCGTTTTTTACTTCCGCCGCCCTTCCGCCGGCCTCCGCCGGCGAAAACGGCCTCGTTCTACTTCCGCTGACCTTCCGCCGCCCTTCCGCCGGCCGACCTTCCGCGGCGGAAGAGATGACAACTCCTTTGATCCTCGAAGGCAAGGCTGGCATCCCGGGGCCGCCCAGAGCATGTGTTGGCATGTGTTGGCATCCCGGAGGCGGGCGCCGCGGGCCCGCGCAATGGAACGCCCCGCCCCGACGGCCTCGCCCCGTGAGGAGGGTCGCAGAAGCGGGCGGCTTCTGGGGGCCCTGCTCGGCCTTAAGGGGGCCCTCGCCTTGCCGCCGACGTGGTGCAATCCCGCGAGGACCTCCTGCGCTTTTAGAGGCCTCCTGGACGGGGTCGGAGCAGATGGGGTCGGAGGATCGCGCCGCATCGCCGATGCATCGGCGATGCACCGGCCATGCACTGGCGACGTCGGCCCGAAGAAACGTGGGCCCCACACTGAGCCGCATCGCTGGTGCATCGCCGATGCATCGGCGACGCGGCGCGATCCTCCGACACCATCTGCTCCGACCCCGTCCAGAAGACCTAGAGCTCATCCCCTGCATGTGGTGCAGTTTGGCGCGGAGCACTTCGGTGACGGTCGCGAGCGTGCCCACGTCACCGCCTCGGCCGCCGGCAAAGGGGCCCCGAGGGATCGCGACGTTTCAGCACTGGCAGAAGACTTCCAGTTGGCGGTGGACGAAACTCCCTTTAGTAAACCTCCCTTCAGTGAAAGCGGCCTAGGACCGAAACCGACGGACCTGGACCCACAAAAATGACGGCCGCGACGCCCTCTCGCGAACCGAAAACGGCCAATCCGCTAATCGACGTGTCAGGGTGCAAGAACCTCAGGAGATCGCGGGCGCCTAGCAATAGGTCGGGCGTGCCCCCCTGCAGGGGGATTTTGCATGGAAAATCAAAAATAGACTCAAGAACACTCCAAGAACACTTGAAAAACCGTCTCCATATTATTTTTGGGACAATGTTTGCATATTCCTCCTGTGGAGGGACAGGCCCGACGTAAGCCTAGCGAAGACGACTTCGGCGGCAAGGCCCTCGGCTTGCGGGGTCGCCGACGCCCCAGACCCCCGACGTCATAATTGTGCATCGTGGCGCGACCCCCAGGTGTCCAGACCCATTCCCCAGAACCAGCTTCTGAATCATTGTTTGACGATCCCGAGGCCCGGTGAGGGCCCCCAGAGGCCGAAACTAGCGAAGAACCTCCCGTCGGGATTGTTGGGTCATAGCCCCAGGGCGTCTGGGAACGAGGACGACTTCGGCGACGAGGCCCTCGGCTTCGGGGCCGCCGACGAGGGTGACATCGCCGAACAGATCTTCAGCACGGGAGCGTCGCGCAGACGTGTGGGGGCGGCGCTGGACCACCCCGCCCGCACCACTGTATGGCGTCGCCTCTGGAGGGGACAGCCGATGCGCTCCGTGCGCCAGGGAGGGGGGAGCAGGAGAGGGGGGCCCAAGAAAAACAAAGCGCGCGGCCCTTCGACTTCCGTGTTTGGAATACTGCGCGCGGCGCTAACACGAGAGCCACAGTTTGAAAACCAACTGTGCTCCATTCTGGTAGCTGCTCGAAAATTTCCCAGACCAAGGTCCGCAGCGCTCAAGGGAGAGCCACACTGTGACAAAACACCCGTCTGGAAACCGCTTGAACCGTTTAAAACCCAAGTTCGTTCTGCTAGATCAGCGAGAGATGCACTTTGAACACCATGCGTTCTCGAACTGTATAGCTGCGCCTCATCATCACAAGCGGCCGAGCCTCAGGCGGAATGCCTGGCCCACAATGCGAACACGTCTGGTAGGCGGCGAGGAGATCTTTCATAAGCAACTTGCCTGTGAGCCTCCAGAGACCTCTGCAAGCCTCCCGGGGCATCCTCGGAGGCCTCCGGAGACCTCCGGGGACGTCTGGGGACATCTGGGAAGGAGAAGAAGTCGAACACGAAGGACAACGGAGTAGCCATGAGATGGCAGGGTTCCGCGCGGATCTCTGAGGTGGGCGCTGGACCGCCCGCGGCCGCTCTTCGGGCTGCGTGGCGGCGATGGTCCACTGAAGCTGTGCTCGGGGTGTGCTCCCCGGCGGGCTGCGCTCGCTGGCTCGGCTGACGGCGGGATGCGCAGGAGGCACCAAGCAGCCGCCGCCGTGCCTGGCCGGGCCTGGCCTGGACCCTGGCCGGTGGCAGGGGCCCTCCTGGCAGGCCCGCGCTGGATCGCACCCCGAAGTCGGATCGGATCGAGTCCGAGTCGGCGGGGAATCGGATCGCGATCAGATCGTTGGGGATCGCCGCTCGGGCTCGGCCCCTGCCGGCCGGAGGGGGAATTGAATCGTGCCGGACCGAGATCGGAATCGAAGCCTGGGGATCGGACCGGATCGGGCCGTGAACCGCACTGCGGGGCCGAGGCCAGTAGGGCCCATGCGCCATCCTGAGGCCCAGGACCAGGACGAGGACAGCGTCATCGTGCGATTGGCCCAGGATGCGTTCTGGGAGCCCTGGAGTCTCTAGCAGCCCTCGGCCCTTCGTCGTCACCCAATTTGGAATTCGGCTCTTGCCGCGCGGAGCCCACAAGAAAACCTGGAAGTCTCGAAAACATGCAGCACTCACGCAGAAGGCATCTACACACCACCACCGTGTCTGGCCAGGGCCATCCTGGGCCCTTGCATGGCGTATATGCTGCCTCTGGCCAAGGCCAGGAGGCTCTAAACGCCACCGAGGAGCCCAGGAGGGCCCTCGCCAGCCGCGGTGGCGCTGTATAGGTGCCCTCTTCGGATCACTGCCATGGCCCGGCCAGGGAACGGTGGTTGTGCAGCTGGGGAAGCCACAAGGCACCGATACTGCTACTCGCCAGACCTCTCCTGGGGTGCGTTCTGATCAGCATTGCGAGGCGAATCCAGCGGTGGCGACGAGGGCCGCCCAGGAGGCCCTATAAGGGGGAAACGATGGGAGGGCAGCGGTATGGGTACCTTCCACTCCTCTGAGCAGCATATGGAACCCACAGAGGACGTGCGCGACCAACCACGTGCGTACATACAGCCCCCCAGTCCGCGAGACCAGCCTCGTGCTACGACCGCTCGCGCAATGCGTACTTTCGAAATCAACGTGGATTCATGTACGTGTACGTCCTTCTCCTTTCGCTCCTGGGCAGCTCCACCTGCGAGCAGCAGCGCAGAGAGGCCGCTCACAGGCCCCCAGGGCGACGCCTGCAGCCCAAACGTGCGGTCCGAAACGGCAGACTCGGTAGACTCGAACACTGTACACGTAGTACGTGTCCCACCCTTGGGGAGGCCAAGAGGTACCGATCTCCCTACTCCCTGGACCTCTCCCGGGCTGCCTTTTCCAAGCTCGGCGGTCGCCTGCACTGCGTGCGAGAGCGTGGCAGCCTGCGGCCACGGGCGCCTGCAGCCTCCCTCGCCGTGTTCGAGTCTGCCGTTTCGGACCGCACGTCTGGGCTGCAGGCGTCGCCCTGGGGGCCTGTGAGCGGCCTCGCTGCGCTGCTGCTCGCAGGTGGAGCTGCTCAGGAGCGAAAGGAGGACGTACACGTGTGCACCTCCTTGCCTCGGCTCCTGAGCAGCAGGTGCCCGCTGGCGCGGGCCAGGACGCGGGAGGCCGGGCGGCCCCGCAGCGGACGCTCAGCCCTGCCGGGGCTGGCCGCCCGGGCCCGCGGGCGCGGCGGCGCCCCGGGGAGGCTCCCCCGCGGCCAGCGGGAGGTAGGCAGAGGAGTAGAACAGGGCATAAGCATATACAGTCGGACCGAGGAGGAGGAGGAGGAGGAGGAGGAGGAGGTGGAGGAGGAGGAGGAGGAGGAGGAGGAGGACGACGACGAAGACGAAGACGAAGGAGGAGGACGAAGGAGGAGGAGGAGGAGGAGGACGACGACGAGGGAGACACGGCACAGCAGGTGGGCCCGCCCCCTCCCCCCAACGCCAGGCTGGGGTACGGCCGGACCCGGGACAGACGAGCATGCCTCAGGAGCATGAGGCCCTCCGCCGGCCCAGGCCGCACAGAACACCCGAGGGTGCCCATCCCCAGGATGCACAAGAGCATCCAACAAGCACGCGAAGAGCAGCAGGGTACACCCTGCGAAATGCTTAAGAAATCATGGGTTAAGAAATTCAGAGTCTCAGAAATTGAATAAAACCCAGAACTTCTATTAAAATCTTGGGATTTACATTGAAAAATTAAGAATAATCGAGACTCTGGACGAACAACTTAGGTTTTCTTAAGCATCGCCTAAGGTGTACCCTCCCCGCACCGACCTCGATCTTATACCTCGGTCCGGCTGTAGACTCTCGGAGGTCCCTGCAGACGTCTTGGATCTGCCCTGCAGCCCCCTCCCCAGGCGCGCGTCGCGCGCCCGGGGGGGCGCCAGAGGCGCCACGGGGGGGGGTCTAGCTCAGATCCAAGGAACCCGCGCGGACCGTTGAAACTTCATGTTTATGCCGTGTTTTCTTCCCCGAGGAAAGGGAGGGCGCCGTGCCAAGTGGCACCAGCCCCTCGCGCGCGTGGGCGCGCCCATGGCGTCGGCCCCGCGACCGACCTGCGCGTCCGCAGCAGGGGCACGTCAGTCTCAGGTGCAGGTAACACCCGAAAAAGACCGTCAGCGCTGCATACGCGATCTCCCAGTCGACGCACGTGTGAGCCATCGTCAGATGGTCGATAGACCAGTTGTCGCACGCCGCGACGATGCCGACACCGAGGAAGTTTTCGTAGAAGGAATACAGCCACACGATCAAGTACAAGACGACGACGAGATCGTGCCATATGATGTGTGCGAAACTCATCCTCACCACCTCGTCGAGATTTCCGCGAAGTTCAGGACAATCACCTGACAGAGATTTCACTTTCAGCTCGACTTGCACCTTCAAATAAACGACGAAGGCAACGTGGAAGATGGCCAGGACTAGATCGGTCTTGATCAGCCCAGAGAGGCGATCAGGGCATCCTTCCACCTCTTTTGACTTTATCGAGCTGATGGCAGCCCAGATGACAACCCCGTTGACAGTCGCAGTCAGGAGGAGGGCTCCGCCCAGAATGCCGCTTGCTGACCATAGCTCGCAAAACAGCTCGGCCAACATCTTCAGTGCGCCGCACAACCACTTGCACGCCTCGGATAGCGCGCCAGAGAGCGAGACGCACACATCGCCAGAACACTCTGGGATGACGCTGCAGACGGCGTTGGCCAGCCTACACGGCAACCGCAGGATGTGAATCATCGCCCCTGCTCTTGGGGGGGACCCAGAGGGCCAAGGACCGCGCGGGCGGCAGCGGAGGCGGGGCCAGCGCGAGTGCTGGCAACGAGGGCGGGCGGGGGGCGCCGACTTGCCTGAGCCAGCCTGCCGACAGGGGAGCCGGGCCGTCGTGCTTCCGGCCGCAACATGACCCGCCGGAGATCTCTGTCGAAGGATTGCAAAAAAAAAAAAAAAACAAAAAAAAAAAAAAACAGGATTGCAAAAAAAAACCCTTGTTGTTTTGCAATCCTTGTTTTTTTTTGCAATCCTTCGTTTTTTTGCAATCCTTCGTTTCTGGGAGCTGCGCTGGACCCCTCCCCTGGCGCGCGAGCGCGCCAGGGGAGGGCGCGGTGCCGTGGCAGCGCTGGTGCGAGGAGTCCGCGTGGACCTCCGAAGTGCGTGTGTGTGTTACACTCCTCGTGCTGCCAGAAAGGAGCGCCGACAGAGAGAGGCCAGGGGGCTGCTCTGGCCACGGGGCGCCTTCTGCTACGAAGACGGGCACCCCGGCCCGGGAAGGGTTTCAGAACCAGAGCCCCTCCTGAGCCCAGAGTGGTTCTCATTCACAGGGAAAGAAGAAACTGCATGAACTTCATCTTTCGGAGCTGCGCGCGGATTCCTTGGATCGGCGCTGGGCACCCTTCTCTGGCGCGCGGAGCGCGCCAGACGCCGGAGGCGCCGCCACGGGTGTCCAGCTCCGGTCGCAGAACTTTGCGCGGAGCTCCGACAACCCAATGCCTATTGTCCAAACAGTGCTTGCACTTAGGGGTTCTCACTGGTGCTCTAAGGAACTGCGCCTGTCTGCCGCTGTAGCGGCTATGTTGCCGCTGTCGCCGCCCCGTCGCCGCCTCGTCGCTGTCCGTCGTCTGGGACTGTCTGCCGCTCTGGCGGCTACGTTGCCACCGTCGCCGCCCCGTCGTCGCCTCGTCGCCGCACCACATAGATTGTACCACGTAAATTGCGCAAGGTAGAGTGTACAACATATATTCTCCTTTCTAAGAGAAGAATAGACTCTACCCCCCCGCCCCAACGTTATCGCTACCCCTTTTCGGGTATGTAAATCATTTATGATTCTGACCACATGTCCATCCTAAGTATGAAATCGCAATGCCCCAGGCCAGCCGGGTTACCCCCTGAGGTTCCCTTGTAAAAAACACTATGCGGTGACATGTGTTGTTCTAACATGGCATTTGTTCACGAATCCCTTGCAACAAAATATGACGAAATTCGCACGCGCGCGTCGTCGCGCGCGTGCCGAAATCCTTCAAAAACCTTCGGTGTCGGAAGGATTTCGCAATCGAGTTCCAAAAAAACATACGAAGCACAGGGTTTCGTAACACTGATTTGCTAAGAAAGCTTACGCGCGAGTTTTTGCGAAATCTTAAGACAACCATAGGTTTTTCAATATTTTCACAACGTGCTACCAAACGGGCGTCGCGCGCGCGCATGTCGAAATCTGTCGAGCGCCCTTGCGCGTGTGCCGTCGCGAGAATCCTCTGCAAAAAATGAACCGAAGTGCAGACGCGCGCGTCGTCGCGCGCGTACGCCGAAATCATTCAAAACCCATAGGTTTCGGAAGGATTTCAAAATTGCGCGTCCAAGAACCTACAACAACACAAGGTTTCGCAACACAGATTATCAACAAAAGCGTGCGCGCGCGCTCTTGCGGCGTCGTCGTCGTCGTCGTCGTCGTCGTCGTCGCCGTCCTCCCTCCTCCCGCGTCGTCGTCGTCGTCGCCTACGTCGCCCTGTGTCTTTCCTTGTGTTCGTCGTCGTCGTCGTTCTCTTTGGCGTCGTGGTCGTTTCCGTCGTCGTTGTCGCCTTGGTCGTCCTTCCTCCTCCTCTCTTGTCGTCGTCGTCGTCGTCGTCCGTCGTCGGCGTCTCGTCGTCGTCCCTCCTATTTCGTCGCCGTCGTCGTCGTCGTCGTCGTTGTCGTCGTCGTCTCGTCGTCGTCTTCCCTCCTCCCTCGTCGTTGTCGTCGTCGGCGTCGCCGTCCTTCCTCCTTTTTCGTCGTTCGCGTCGTCGCCGTCCTCCGTCCTCCCTCGTTGTCGTCGTTGCCGTCGTTGTCGTCGTTGTCGCCGTCGTCGTCCTCCCTCCTCCCTCGTCGTCGTCTTCGTTGGCGACGTCGTCGTCGTCTTCGTCGTCGTCGGCGTCGGCGTCGTCTTCGTCGTCGTCGTCGACGTCGGCGTCGGCGTCGTCGTCGTCGCCGCCGTCGTCGTCGTCGTCGTCGGCCGTCTTGCTTCTCCGGCCTTCTTGGGGCGCTCTTGAGACGCCCCCGAAGGCTCCAAGACGACCCCGGAGCGATATCGGTGCTCGGTCCCGCATGGGCTTTGCAAACCAAGTTGCGGGTGGGTTGGTGGGATGATTGCGCGAGCAGTGGAGTTGACAACTTGAAGTTCGGCAAATGAATTGCACCACCTAGATTGCACCACGTCGTTTGCACATTATAGGTTGCTCACTACATATAGTGCACCACATTTAATCTTCTGTCTTAAAAAAGAATTCACTCCACCCCGACCCCTGGATTATCTGTTCCCTTTGTTTCCATGTTGCAACTTGCAAATGGTTCTGCCCCATCGCCCATCCTTAACATGAGCTCGTAACATCCCAGGGGAACGGGTATCGACACCCCCCCATCACCCAGTGCCAAAAATACTGTGCGCGCGCACTTGTGTATCAAAAATCAACAGTTTACAAGCATCATTCGCGAAAAACGGGGCGAAGTTCACACGCGCGCGTCGTCGCGCGCGCATGCCGAAATCACTCAAAAACCTGAAATTTCGTAAAGCTGTCAGAATCGAGTGCCCATGAAACATGCAACATCACATGGTTTCGCAACACTAGCTGTCGAAATAAACTTGCGCGAGCTCCTGCGAATTATTAGCAAACCGACGGTATAATTTCACATGTTCGCAACATGCCACCAAACTCGCATGTCGAAAGCGTTCGAACGCCCTTGCGCGCGTGCCGTTTCGATCATTGTTTGCAACGAATGGGACGAAGTGCGCGCGCGCGTCGTCGCGCGCGCCTGCCGCAATCCGTCAAAAACGTTGGGCGTTGTAGAGATTTCAAAACCGAGTGTCCTGAAAACGTTTAAAACACATGGTTTCGCAACATCTGTTTTCAAAAATGCCCGTGCTCGCGCTTTTGCGAATTATCGGGGAACCAATAGGAGATCCAATCAATATGTTCATGGAATTCTGCCTAGCGGGCCTCTCGCGCCGCATGGCGAAATCACTCGAACGCCCCTGCGCGCATGCCGGGGGGGGGGGACAATCCGCGTAAAATACAACCGCGCGGTCACTCTCGCGAGCCGGCCGCGCGCGCATGTCAAACTCTTTCCAACGCGTTCATCACGGACGCGAAGTCGCCTTCATCGTCGTCGGCGCGATCACCATCGGCGCCGTCACTGCCCGCGCCGTCGTTGCTGTCAACATCGTCACCAGCACCGCTACCATTATCATCGCGCCTACTTGCCATGCATTCGCGCCCGCCCAAGTCGCCGACTTGCATTGAAGTGCCCGCTGGGATGCGCCCAACGGTTAGCGCCACCGCGGGCGCGTCGGCCCCGCCAAACTAGCTGGCCGCCGCGCGCGCGCATGCGCGAGCTGGCGCGACCGCAGATGCACCAGCCAGCGCCGAGCACTTATCGAAATCGCCACCGCATGGGTTTTGCAAACCAAATTGCGCGTGGGTGGGCGGGATGGTTGCGCGGGCAGTGGAGTTGACAACTGCGAGTTCCACACATGAATTAAACCACATAGATCAAGGGACATTGCGCGACATATGTTGCCAAACATCGATTGCGCCACATCGATCCCTCGAGAAATATTGCGCCACGCAGATTCATCTTTCCCAACAAATATTCAGCTCCCCCCCCCCCTCCCCCGAATTAGTTGCACCCCTTTTCGCATTGTAATTTGCAAGCGATTCCGCCCCGTCGTCAATCCTGCATTTGAACCCGTGCCATCCCAGGCGGGCCGGCATCCGCCCCCCCCAAAGTCGCGGACTCGCACTGAAATGCCCGCTGGGATGTGCCCAGCGGTCAGCGCAACCGCGGCCGCGTCGGCAGCGCCAAACTAGCTGGCCGCTGCGCAAGCGAGCATTCGCGGGGCAGCGCGGCCGCGGAGATGCACCAGCCAACTCCCAGCACCCATCGCAATCGCCGCCGCATGGGTTTTGCAAACCCAGTTGCGCGCGGGCGGGTGGGATCATTGCGCGAGCAGCGGGGTGGGCAACTCACTGCGAACAGAAATTATTTGCACAACAATACTGCACCACCTAGACTCTATTTTCTTTTAAAAGGAAAGCTGATTCCCCCCTGGGATTATCCCTGCCCTTTTCGCATTGCAATATGCGCATGGTTCTGCCCCGTCGTCCATCCAAAATATGAGCTCATACCATCTCTGCCAGGCCGGCGCGCCCCCCCCCCCCCCCCCCCTCCCCCAGTCACCCCGCGCGCGAGCTGTTATATGCGCGCACTCGTTTATCACAAAACCCCTTGCAACGAATATAAGGAAGCGCGCGCACGCGCGCGCCGTCGCGCGCGCATGCCGATATCATCCAAAAATCTTCAGTTCCGCCAAGACGTCAAAACCGAGTGCCCGACAACAGATCAAAACACATCGCCTCGCAGAGAGGATGATCAAAGAAAGCTCGCGCGCACTCTTGCGAATTCTCCAAACAGCCTTCGGTTTTCAAAGTTCTCATAAACAGAATATCAAGCGGGCTCCGCGCACGCGAATGCCCAAACCGTCCGAAAGCCCCCGTGTGCGTGCTGTCGCAAGAACCCTTTTGCAAAAGCTGGGGCGAATTGCACGCGCGCGCGTCGTCGCCCACGCATCTCGCTTCCCGTCGAGAACCTAAGGTGTCGTCAGGGTTTCACAACCGAGTGTACAAAAAATCACATTAAAACAATTGTGTTCGCAACGCCAGTTCTCCCCATTCCAAAAAATGCACTCGCGCTCTTGCGAATCCTTGAGAGAACCA